CAGAGCGGAGTTGCAGCAAAAGTTCATAAGCAAAAAAGGTGCTAATTCATCACAGGGAGTGATCATGAAATCTCATTAAGTATGCCTTTGTACAAATGCCATAATAAAAATGATTCAAACAAAACACAAAATCTTGTAAACAACAGGGCTATTTATTCCCAAAATAACTCCAGAAGAAAGCACTTATTAAGGGCAATGACTGCACATACAGATTTAGGGCACACAGTGTAATACAAGCAACTGCACAAGCGTTATATTTGATATTGTCGTGAGATCATACCAAGCACCAACGATGACATGAATATTCAATTTCCTATACCTCAGTGCACAAAGTTTTAAGGATGCAGATTACCAGCAACAAATTGCGCCAGCAATCAATCATAGGGTACAAGGGGGTTTCGTGGTTGTGAGACCATGGTGGGTAGCAAGCATTCGCTGCACTCTGGCTATGGACATATCAAGCATTCCAGAAAGCAGTAACTGGCCAGATGTTACAGCCAGGGCAATTCAAACTCCTGTGTCCTTTATGCCCAGCAGCAAGCTCAATCATGAACGCATTTTGCACATTGGCTAGGTTTGGAGGAAGTTGACATGATTTGAGAAAAACCCACAAAAGTCATTGTAGAGAATATCTCTTTCTTAAAATATCTCAGGACTATGTTCTCATCATGACTGTTTCATTTCCTTTCCTGGGGACTACAAAATACCCAGAGATGCAGATCTTGTGGCTGTTAACCCAAGCTTGGAATACAGGCATTCATCTCCTCAAGTACGTCTGCCGAACACTCATTGTGTAGTCTGTCATGTTTGGTCAGCATTTTCAGCATAGGGTTATTGTCACCTTAGGTCAGCTCTGACAACTCTGTCTATTTGAAATTTAGGAAAGATTAAAATGAAGACGATTGCAACTTTAGGAAGCATCGACACAATTCCTTTGTTGTAAAATATTGGAATTTTGTAGCAGGGTATAATGAATGAACTTTTTTTGGGGGGGGGCTTAGTTAAGGGAACAAAATGAATATGAACATGAGGTACATGTATATGCACTCACTTGAAGTCTTTCTGGGTCACATACTGGTAAAAACGTGTTCATTCTATCACTGTCTATGGTAGATATAATCAAGACAACATCAAGGAACTGGAAAAGCCATTGATTTTGTTGAGCCAGCTTCCTGTGTCAGATTTAGTGGTTTTATTTTGTGACATTTTTGCTGTCCAGTATCAAGGGGTTAAGCTATGGATATGACTGTCACTTCATTTAGGTTTTTCCCCCAGTTTAAAGTACTTGTAAGTTGTAGCAGAGAATAATGATGAAACCATTGACTGTACAAAGCTGAGTCATCAATCTTCTTCCTCCCGGGAATGGTCCTAAGCAGTGTCTGTGTCACATTGTGATCTTTAGAAAGTCGAGGACTACTCCTGCACTCTTTATTTCGACAACGTGGAAGGTCTAACTTCTAGTCACTGCATTGAAATTCCCCTTAAGAGTTTAAGGGTTAATGAGACTCGCACATCTTGAGAATTTGATCTCCTGTTACATTGTGACTTATATCTTGCAAGGTTGAAGTGCCAAGAATTAGTTTGGTATCTGATAGAGTCCAGATTATTGTGGCTTTCGTGGGTATACATCAAATTAGTGTGATGGAAATAGTGAACCCTAATTCTTCAAGGTTTTATTCATTGGAAATATTGGTCAGTGCTGAGAGGAATATTCATTTGCATGGCTTCGGTGTGTCACAAATGTAACCAAAATTCTTTGTACATCGGGAAAATCTTTCAGTTCTTGATAGCGTTGTGTTCTGCAGAATTCAATTCCGTGTGTGAAAAACAAAATGATTCGTGGATTTGTAGCTGATAGGAGTAATTTGGTCATCAGCTGTAGGGTTTTATACTGTTTTGTTTCCGAGATGAATCATTGAAAAATATTTTCCTTGGAATATACATTAATGTTCCCAGTTAACTTGCTTGATGTGTTCCGGCTTGGATACAGAACGTAACACTATTGAAGATCACTTAACTTCCAGTTGAACCATAAAATCAGAGCAGCAAATACTTGAACACTGGATGAAAGTTCAGCTTCCATCCATTCTGCTGTGTGGGATGCCGTTAGTCATTCTGATAAAGGATCCAACATTACCTATGGTGGCTCATGGCCAATCCCTGGGAGATGATGGTAAAATCATGTGACCATGTGAAAAAGAAATCTTGAATATGAGCACGGCTGTCAGCCTTGGTCATGCCTGGCTTGTCATGAATGAAAACCACAGCTGGTTGGTTTATCAAGTAGGTGTCAGCATAGCAAAGACAAACCACTATGAAATGGTAGTACTCAGACAATTAATTTATCACGAAGACTGCTATGGAGCTTTTATCTAGAACTGAGCAGTTGTTCAAAACTATCTAAAGTGACATTTATACACATTTGGTGATTACCTGCTGTTTACAGGTGCATCCAGTCCCTGTCATGTGACCCAAACCAACAAAGTGGCTAATTACAGTCCCAACTGTCTTTGAAATATTATAAGGAAAGCCTATCTTCTTTGTTGGCTTCTTTTTGGGAAGTCACTAGTTAGTTATTTGGAAATTGATTTGTAATAAGTTTATTACAAACTGGCCATAAATTATGCTATAAAATTAGGTTCCTAGAAAATTAGATGAGCTCCTCTTTCATGTCAATTTTCTCAGGGCAATTCTTTGTCAATGTTTTGTAAATTAATGTACTTTGGTCATAACTGTGAAGTTTTGATCATATCAATAAACTAGTGTGAGCTTCAACCTGTTAATGAATTACAACCTGTTAATTGATTTTTTTTATAATGATATCAACAGTGGAGGGCAATTGACTGATGCAGAGAAGTGGTGTGGCCTAGCTGTCAGAGTTATGAATCACCTGACCAGCCTGAAATCCAATTATGAAGAAAAGGTACCCTTCATTTTGTGAATAAAAACAGTCTATGAACATTCTGGTTACTGCTGGCCCTCCCTAATCAAGTTAGCCTATCTTTCCAGAGATTTTCTTGATAAAATATCGTAACTTCCTTTACAGATGAAGACTATCTATTCTGAAGTTCTGGAGAAGATTGAAAGAGAGAAATTGAAGGGGAACCTGGAGGAGGAATGAAACTTGGTAAGATCAAGGTACAGTGTGCATGTAGATATAGCTGCCAGAGATTGGTGCTCTCAATGTCTCTTTAAGATCCGTTGATAGTCAAGCCAATACTTTGTTTTTGGATGTTATATTATTGACATTCTTTTTTCTAGGTCATTTGTTAGTGTGCCAAAACTCTTTGATTAAAAACACTGTTAGCCAATTGCTGTGGTGTGATTTTGCTTTACTGTGAATGTTTTTTGCTCATTTATCAAGACTCAACAAGGGAGTTTTAGTAGAGTCAACAATTGTAGTGAAGATCATTATTGATTGTCTTTCTTTGAAGCAGTCAACAAGTAGTCTGAAGTGATTGCTTTCTTGGATTTCTTAATCTTTGAAAACTGACAAAAACTAAGCAACATATATGCACAGTGTGACATTCTTACTTTTGGTAATTTTTCATTGTTCAAAATGTGATTTTTTAATCCTAAAAAGAGACAGAATAATTGTCTAACTGTGCTTTTTGGTCATTAAATTGTCTTATGATATTCAGGTTTTTATCAACACTGGAAAAATAACTGTTTGAAGGTTTTCATGTTTAAAGTGCTCATGCATTGAAAAGAGTTTCAGATTTACCTAGGTGAGTGGTTTTAAATCTTCCATCAGGCATTGTTGATTGTTATATGAGTTCTTGTGTTTAGGAAGCATTTGAATAAAGAAAACTTCACGTTGGTTATAACGTTCCAATTCCTACTGTTATGATTCCCTTAATGGTTCACACCACCTGAAATTTCACTTTTATTTCCAAACTTGCCTGTATGTTATTTGTGCTTCACCAGGTAGATTGTTTCACATCAGCTGGTGAAATTCTTTTGTCACAGTTAGAACTCTAGGAGACAGACTAGCACAGTAATTCTACCCTCGCTAACTTGTTCCCTGCTGATTCAGTCAGTATTCATTCTGAGGGTTTTACTCTCTACTCATCCACAGTGCCAAAACACTTCAATCTTATTTTTGTGTGCGTGCACAAAAAGACATAAATATTGAATGAATAAACTTCAAGCTTCAAGTTTATTCTGTGCCTTTATTGATATGGATTTGACAGTCACTAGCAGGTGCTAGATTTCATCCAAAGACAGTCTGGGCTGAGGATGTCTGTTGATGTTAACGGCAGGCTACATGTTTATATGCAGCTCTCAAACCCTCTCATTATACTCAGCCTCATATTTCAAGATTTTTTGTCATATTTGGAACATTGATTCCTCCCAGCGTCATTGGTCTCCCTGGCAGTCACTGCGGTCGCATTAAGCAACCTGCATGAAAGCTTTCCTGTACACTTGGCCGCGTATGAAGTACTTGCACTTATTGAGCTAGGTTCATTGTTTATGGGGATCATGGGTCATTTTGTTAAAAGCATCATTTTTCATGATGCTGTCGTCATAGTAATTATAAATCCTCCACGTTGATTTATCTTCAACATTGTCTGTGAATCACTGTCTACCCTTTGTAACTCATCATGCCCATTTTTGTAAATACCATGGTGAGGTGTGCATGCCCATGAAATGTTTGCATATAAATGAAGAGTATGAAGTCTTACCAATGTAAGTTGACATCACAGATATTTGGAGTAATTTTGTGACTGATTGGCCTTAGCCAGGGGTCAAATTTTTGCTGCAGCATTTAGGATTATCCTTTGAATCTTAACAACTGTATATATTTCCATTGTGAATTTGTGAACACTCTACCTCCAGAAGTCATTTAGCATATATTGGACCCATGTGGCTTATTGCTGCCTTACACTAAACATCCCTGAATAAATGATGATGATGTATGCCATCCATGATAATGATGACTGAGATGGGATAAGGCTAGGTGTCATGAGATACGCGAGGGCAAAGATGAAACGCAGACAGACGAGTGATACATTGATGCTTGATGAAGGAAAATACTAGTATGTCTGTGATGCTGAAATTGAAACGGTATCTTAACAGGATGGAAATGTAGGAATTTCATTCATACATGTAGAGGATAAAATTTTTCATGGTAAAATGACCCACAGATAGCTTTTCTTTAGACTTGTAGATCATATAACAATTGATGTACCCGTGATCCCCACTAATTGTAATTATGCGGATGTTCTGGTAGGCATCAGTTTTGTGATATGTCTTCTCAGTTTATGAAACGTGTAGAGTATTTCCATCTGTCCTTGTGTTTTGTCTGGTAGGTTTGTGTAAACACTTTTTTCTAGCTGCAGCAGTTGGAGTGATAATGTAACCACAAAGAAGAAATTCATTGTGGTTTTTTTTTCGCTGTCTGAACCCCCCCCCATGGATTGGAAAATTCGCAAAGTTTTAATATTTATTTTGGCTGTTGCTACATACAGTTAGTCAAGATAAGCTATTTATAGCAAACAACTTCCTGTAACAACACGGGGCTACAGATCCTAACTATCAGGAACAATCTCAGAAAGAATCCTTGAATTAAATGCATTCAAGTAGAGGATCTTTAACTGTTGAATAATAAAAACAGACTCTACAAGAGTTTGTGCATTGATAATTTGAGGCCCCTTCATATGTTGGGGGCCAGCAAGGCCCTCCCGTATGACTTCCCATGTTATACGTAAAGCCGCTGCTTTGCCGACGTGAACAGCGCCGGGTCCGTGCGTAGATAACTCCCCTGGGTCGTCTTCAATTAAGGCCCTCTATGCTCTCCAGCCTTGCAGGTGTCATGATATCGGAGTGATTTACTGATGCCATTTAGTCGGAGTGGTTCACTTGACTTGATGAGGTCTGTTGATGAAACCCGAGTCTTGATCCTAAATGTGGGCAATAGCAGGTTTCTGAATATTTGAGTCTTGTGTGTATCATGAGCGAGGATGGCTGGATCCCGCGGAAAGATGGTCATACTATATGATCAGAAGTAGTTTTCCTGGGTGGAATATATTGCCTGACATCACGGAGGAAGAGAGTTGATGAATGTTATTTTTTTCTTTTCTGGCTTCATCAATTTTTGTGGGATTATGATGGCTTGAGGAGCCCGAGCGGTAAAAACGGTTCTATCCCCATCCCAGAAGATGGGGATTACGCCAGTGAGTATCGTTCACTTCAAGAATGTGAAGTCGAAGTGGAGAGACTCGTTACTGGAATTTTACACCAGATTATACAGTTATTTCAAACAATTTGGAAGACCTGAGAGGGACAACATTTGACGGTAATTCCTGGTGATTGTTTCTGACGTATTGTGAATTTCTTGCCCAGCACAAATGTCTCGGGTTGGAGAGCTGAAACACAAGATCTTTGCCATAACAACAGTTCATAATAGCTAATTCAACACACCCCGTGATCGATAACATTAGATAAATTTGGTAACTTTCATTTACGGACCTGTCAAAATAGATGATGACATGATCACATGGGCACACGCGCGCGGGTTACGTCATTATTTACAGGTAGCCTGTCAAAACAAACCCAGTGAGAACATGGGAAAACACTGAAGCCTTTGATTTCCGATTCCCACGCAGTTTTCCTTGTCTTTAAACAGGAAAATGCTCGTCACTTGGACAAGAACTTGCGTGTTTTCCCCCCGGTATGTAACAACATTTGCAATGACATTGCTCATGTTATGTTTTTTTGTGCGTATAGCCGGACCCATAAACCGAGCACGTGAGCGTTATCTTATCATTAGTTTCCTTGTTACTTCATTAGCTTTACACCATTTTTTTTTCAGTCAACATTTTATGTCTTATTAACTGCCGTGGGAAAAAGCAGTTGCTTGAGTGATTGTATGCAAATGACATGTAAATGATATCTTTACTTGCATCTAAGCTCGCTACTATTGGTTATCAAGTTATTGGACGAGCATTCTTTATTGTTGACTTAAACCGTACCACAGAGCAAGGTAATTGATTGGGGGGGGCGGTTAAAAGAAGTTTAATGTCTGTGCTGTGAAAGTCGCCTCGCCCAAATAGTCTTCAAGTTAGGGGCAAATAACTTGTCAACTCGGCGCAGCGGTACTTTGGTCGCTTTTCACCTCTCGCCTTGGTTGAAATCCCACTCAGCGGCCGACGGTGTCATGTTGAACGAGTTTTCAGTCCTGATTCTATGGGTTTCCCAGAGGAAACGGCTTCCTCTCACTTCTGAATAAAATTGTAAATTTCTTTATCTCCTCTTCTTGTGTTCTTTCAAGCCTCCGGGTAACAGTACGTGTGCATTTGGAGGCACATTTGCTTTCATTATATCATAAATAACAAACAGTAATGCTTAATGACAACGCTTACCATTGTCACTTTGCAGTCTGCAGTGACAATGGATATTCGTTTCCCATGCTTTCTTCCGGCACATAAGTCTGTTAATGCAGTCATTTGGGTCATTCTATCTATAAAAAACACTTTCTTAAAATGCGGTCAGCCTTAGATGAAGTGACCGCATTCCGTGCGGTCAATTTATTTTGGAACCTTTGACCCAGAGTGGCGACTGATGTCAGCGGGTTGGAACTCGTTGGCCTCCCAGGACGAGGATGCGTCTTAATATTAGCCGGGGCGTCTCGTCCCTCCACGCACTGAGTAATCTCATCGGACGAGTCTCCGGACAACGGAAATGTCAGGCGACTGTCTACAAATGACAATAGCCTACGGGTTTATGAACTGCATTTTTATTTTTTTGGAAACAGTTCTTATCTCTCTGTGTATCCGCAGGAATCACTAAGTAATATCCATGATTACACATCCAGACATTGTCTGGGCTTATTTTGATTATTAGTGCGCACAGCCTGCTATGGAGATGCTTTCTTCAAGCATGCATAAAAAAGAATCGTCGTCTCAAAAAGCACGCCTCTTTTGCTTGATGAGTTTGTCGATCTTTTCCCTAAACATGGAGATTGAACTCGTTTGTTCTTGGTGCACTCAATCGCACGCACTCCTAGAGGTAATGTGGGTGTCTAATGTAATATTGTACCACCTCCGTGAGAGGACACTAGATATTGGTCCTTTCCTCTGACAATCATTCTTGCCCAGGAATAACTCTGTTACAATAATGCGTGAGGATGTCTCATGCAGATAAGAAACGCGATTGTTTGGAAGTAACTAATTTCCGCCTCGTCGCCTTGAATAATATGCCCGGATATCTATTGCTTTCCTTGTGGCCGTTTTCCCCATTAAATTTCAAGCTCCCGGGTTTTTCTGTCATTTTATCGCTGACCAGCCGAAATCGGGCAAACTGGGCTTGGTCTGTTCGGTTATCACATTAAATGCCTCTTTGGAGTTCCATAGTTTCTACCTCCATGGTTCTGCCACTGTTCGAAACTCTGCCGTGTGTTTATTGTGTAGGCAAAGTGGTATTAGTGTGATGTGGAGAGCATTTTGTAATCCTTGGTGGTTCTCGCCACAGAACCCGGGAGTGCAACGACCTTCGTATGCGCACAGTCCCATCTGGTTTAATGGAGAGTGCTAGTCATCGTAACAGGTGACTACCATTATAAGACAAGTGGTCAAGGACGGGCCTAAATTGTTTGAAAAGTATATCACTCCATTTCTTGACGGTAACTGAGCTAACTGTCCTGACTTCTTTCCCTTCCGACTCATGTTTACTGAAAAATTCTGATTTATAAATTACGTAGCTGACAGCGAACTTGTACGTTAAGTACCATGGTGTTTTCTTTTGACGGTTCATCATGCCTTTGACGGTGCATCGTGCCAACTTACTGTACCCAAGAGACCACTGCATGCACGTCATCGTTGTTTCATTTTACTGTTTATTTTATTTGTGTATTGTTATACTGGTGAATAAACGTAAAAAGTGATCAGACCATGTGTCACAAGTGAAAAAGACTTGGACTTTCACAAAACCCAAGATGTTTGTTTGAACTTTTTGTCTGGCAGTGGAAACCGAAACTCCAACTGTCAATGATGTCACGTACTGTAGTCGCCCAAACTCCGCAGTCCCTCGTTGTGAAAACGCTCATAAATGCACCGTAAATCCCCATCATGCCGGCGATGACATACAAGAAAAACCGCCAAGACATCATGACACGGTAAACATAACCCCGTGTCATCTGCATTACTCACGTTAGCCCACTGCATATGACAGCATCTTTAAGGAATGCCGATTTGGGATCCAAAATGGGTGGACCTTCCCCAGGATTGTGTTTTGTATACGATGACTATTCCATGTCACAAGATTTAGAGTATGGAACATAAGCAGACAAGAAGTAGCGTATATAGAAAGACTTCACTTATGTTGAAAAGCAGAGATGTGAATACATGTGTTGACATGAATTGCCGTTCACAACAACACTAATTACGTCCGTTGCCAATTTGTTTGTGTGGAAAGTAAATATACAGAATGTATCACGAAGTTGTGGCTCTCGATTTGTCCCAAGCACTCGTGATTATACCGACACTGTTTTATTGAACGTTCGAAACTACATTTCTGGCGTGAAGAAATTATTTGATTTTGTTTTCTTAATACAAGTACCGAAGTTGAGTGTTTTGTGAGACTGCCGCATTCACCTTCATTCATGGCACCACATCGATAACTTTCGCCATTATGCCTCCCAGTAATGTCAAGACATGAAATAGTCTCCATACGATAAACTTCTGTGCTCATCTGCGCATGCCAAGGCATCCTCGATGTAATGATGCGCGCTGGTTAGCGACTAATGAGCCTCAGCAGACGTGAGTCTGTGTGCCGCAGTTTTTCCGTTGTCTTCTACTGTGATCTGTGGTTACGCTCTCTGTTGTTGGAGCTGATTTTTCGGGTGGAAGTGTCGAATTTCACTATCCCCTCTGGGACAAGTGTGTCGTCCTTGAACGCGGGACACGAAATGTGCGACAGATGGCTACAAAATTACCATTGGTGCGGCCCACATTTTCCAGTGAGAAAAACGAGAGTGCCAAGTAAGCATGTTCAAGAATATAGCCGGGCATACACCTAGCACTAGTAGTTTGGCAATTAACGACGTGGAAGCACATAATGTCGATAAGGCTCTTCTTTCCAGAAAGGCTGGGAATCAGACACTTTGAACAGGGACAGTCTTTGAGTGTATACCTTGTGCTCTTCACTGCCAGAGATACATGGTCAGTGCGACCCATACATCACACGCAGGACTAGTACTGTGCGCGTACGAGAAGAGAATTAGGCCTGTGAATCAACGAAAAATTGTGGTTCAATTCTCTGCATGGTATTCAGTGGATGACTTGACATGTATTCTGGTGTTTTGCCAATTAAGACGTCTAGAAAGGGAACTAAGTGCTGTTCTTTTGAGTGTTCCATAGGAACTGCTTAATGAACTCACAGTTTTTTGAGCGTGTTATGTCTCACCTTTCCGGCGTGCCTATCCCAAGCTGGCACCAGTTGACTTGGTAACCACATGATAACTGTGGCAACAAACCGAATTTAGTTGACTCTTATCAGAGCGATAATGATAATGCTGTGATTCCAAATGTCGAATGGAAGTTTCTATTTATGAGGAAGACTAGACATTGTGCAACCACACAGAGGAGGAAGCCTTCAACGCGCCATGTGATACAGTGCTTTGTACGCAGCTGGCCGGATATCAGTGACTTGTTCCCGCTCTTACCCACTGGACTCTATCCCACGGTTTCCCTCTTCCGGATGGTGTTTATGGAATAACCCTTGTGACAAAATACACTCTGGGAAACCCAATTGCCCGTGAGAAACGATCCTAGCCGCTACATTAGCGGAGACTAGACAAGTGGCGTGTCATTTACAGGCTCGCCTTTGCGTGAGAACCACTGGTAATTTCATACAGTAATTGCGAGGACGGCCAGTCTGTCATTAATGGAAATATTACACCGTGTTCGTTTTAGCTGAATTCCTGGTGTACATCAAAGCTTGGCAGCCCATATGGATTTTTGTTCTCGGACACGACTACGAGTTTATACGTGTTTGTGTTAAAAACATTTTCTGAGAAGTAACACGAGACCATTTCACCACTATGACATCGTTTCATTTTGTAGGTTTCATCTGTGTAGTGCTAGCATTGTTCGTGGATCATCCTTTACCCGCCGAGGCGCAATATGCCTTCCGTGAAGAGCCACGGGACAGCGCTGTCCAGCTCGGTGATACAGCCACCTTACGCTGCGCCGTTGACAACCGTAAGACGGCTATAGTGGCCTGGTGGAGTGATGGGTTAGGAGGGTTCATCAGCCAGAACCACCAGTTGAAACAGTTCAGCACAGACACAGACAAACTAGAACGGTATTCGATAACCGGTGAGTTAGCACTCGGTGAATTCAATTTACAAATACGGAATTTCTCCAGTTCTGACGCGGGCACGTATAGATGCCACATACTCGCTTCGGCTGAGAGGGAGACCGTCGTTAAGTATTCGCGTGATGCTACACTGAGGGTTGCACCGTACGACCCTCGGTGTTACGTGGAGTCTGTGTCCCCTGTGCCGATGATTGGAGACAAAGTTGCCTTAGTGTGCGAATCTCGTAACTTTGACTACAGCGATGATTTGACGTGGATGTACGCAGCTAGGAGGATTCTAAAGGGGAACATTACACGAACACCAACCGTCAGAAACGTGGTGACGCATGTTCTTACAGAAGCAGACTACGACGCGCGATTCATGTGCTTTGAACAACAAAGACGCACATGTTTCCTAATCCCTCTTCGTCGGTACATCTCAGTACTCGTCCAAACAGCCGTTGCCCAACCCCAACTAGGAGACACTTTGACTTACAGGTGTGTGGCTGATAATGACTTGACACCATTGTCTTACAGCTGGCGTATCAACGGAGTGGACGTAGCAGTCGCCGACGATACATTAACCGTCGGTCCGCTCAACGCATCCCACAACGGTAGTGTCATTGAATGTGCTGTGAAACACAGCTCTGGATTTAAAGGAAATGATAACATTACCCTACGCATCCAGCCAAACGAAGGTGGGACTCGAACCACCCCGCTATCAACTACTACTGAGGACTCTTCTTCTCAGAGGAGTGCTGAAAATGTGCCAACAGACTTTCACCGTTCCAATGTTTGGCCTACTACTGGACCTACCAATCCCATCCTCCTTGACCAACGAGACACATCCAAAAGCCAAGAAGACGGATGGGGTGGTCTCTTGATGCCGTTTGTAATCTGCGCCTCCGTGGTAGGAGTTCTCCTTACTACCGTCATTATACTTCTGACTGTTTTCCTCAACCGTCAGAGGGCGTCTAATCGTCGAGCCAATAGTGCTGCTAAGACCAGTGATAGCACAGGGGGACCCGTATCAGACTGTGTCCCTTTGGACCTTGTCGCTAACAGAGATGTTAATGTAAATGGCTCACCAGCTATCAGTGTTGGAACCTTGAAAGGTTTCAAGAACCCTGCTGGTTGTGGATCGGTGGACACATTCGAGATTGACCTGGACCCTGAGAGTCCGCCAGAGTACTACACATTAGAGCACAATTACTATGAGGCTACAGTTGGGAAACTAGACTCGACCAATTGTAGCGATAACCATGACTCTGGTTTTGACGGCATAGAGGTGTCCGAAACTATAACCCCTGATTCTGAACTGACTGCTCGTAATCGCAAGTTTAGTTTTGGGTCCAGCCCTCCCCCGCATATACCCTCAAGTTCCAGTCAGCCTTCTGCCCCCGTTGCCATACCACCCGAGTTTGAAGGCAGTAATTCAGAGTGTCTAGTTGCCGCGTACGCAGTAACGGACGTCGCTCGCTCATCTCCACCGGACACTAAACGCAGCAATGCGCGGGGAGGTAGTCTTAAAAGACCGCTCCCTGCACGCCCAACAGACAGCGGTTACCGATCTCCCGGCGTGGTACTCGCAAACGAACGACCGTTCCGTCGTGTCGGGAGTTTGAAATCTATTGATGAGCCTGTGGTTGGTGCTCTAGCTAGATCCAACAGTCTGAAACGACCTCTCCCAGCAACTCCCCGGAGTGTATCTCTCCGGACCCCTCGTACACCGGACCCCTACCGTAACCCGAGTCCTCTCTTTACACGCATTCCTCCATTCCTTTCTAGCGATTCACCCGGAGCCACCCCGGCAGTCACTTCTACTTCGGAAACCAAGACAGACCTACCCAAAGAAACGGACAAACCCCAGAAAAGCAAAGTGCCACAAAAGTACCCCAAACTAACTGTCCCTTTTGAACGGCTGTCTGCAGCTACGTCTGTCAGTGAAGGTGACTATGCAGAGATCGACATGGACCAAGAGCAAGAAGCCACGGAAAGAGATAGTCTGATGTCGAATAGTTCAATCATGGGGGACAACGCAGGGAGCCTCGGTGACAACGAGACGCGGAGCACGGTAGATGTCGAGGATTTGGCTGGAGCAGAAGTTAATGGGGGAGAGGCCGATTACGATACGGTTGCCGAGAGCGATGGAGAAGAAATTGATACAGACCACATGGAAAAAAATGCACTTGCCGCCTTAATTTCAGATGGCAAACAACCTTGGAGCGATATTGGTAATTCTGACAAAGTTGAGGAATTTCAAGAGGTGCATCTCCCCGACGAGATCCCGGAAATTCCCGATGAATTAATTTGTCAAAAATCGCCTATGTATGCGAAAGTAAAGAGACAGAACTCCCAAGAATTTCCACTTTCAGACACAGACATAAATGAGGAAAACCATACCGAATTGGACAATGTCAACTCTCAGCTGTGCTCCGTCAATATTTCACCTGTGGACGGACATTTTGAGATGGACATAAATAACCTGGGTCAAGAGAGGGCGCTGTTAGAAAATGCTGAACAACCCTATGCTTTAGTGAAGTAATGTGACGGTAGCGAGCACGTTTGCACTCCAGAAATGTTTATGCAGGTTTGATGTTGGTCACTTTGAAAAGAAATCTTTCAAAGATGGTCATTTTGATTTAAGTCTTTGTGCTCAGTAGAAAACAGTAGTTGTCTATCTGTAACAGGTGAACAGCAGTTACAATGTCAGGCATCATCTTGTGGGCGTAATCTTTAACGTTCCATGATTGCCAATATAAAGAAACTAGATGTATATCTTGAAACTTACACATGTAAATAGTTTTCGTACCGCACAGAGGTTTTATCCCACCTTTCTCTTAATTTAGCGCCTGTTCTTGTATAAGGCCAAATTACTAAAGAATATTTCCCTGGTCGGGGGGGGGGAGGTATGGTGCAACCTCTTTAATTCATAGATTGCATCTTTTTCCCTGTATGGCAAATGGATTTTAGTAACCTGTTTGCTGATACTTAAGTGTTTAGAGAAGTTTTAACTACATTAACCACATTAAGCAAGCTTCAAACTTGCATAAATTGCTAAGTATGCGTTAAAACAAAATATTCTAAAACTGAAAAGACCAACCTGAAGGAAAATGAAAGTGTGGTGAAAAAGTACCCTTTTTTCACTTTGCCCAAAGTTCAAACTACATGTATGTTAATTTAATGAAAAATGTGGTTTTCCACTATTTTTGCCAGTCCTATTGTGAAGTTGTAATCATAATCAAAAGCCTTCAAATGTGTCATAAAATTTCTAAAGCCTTCTGAAGTCCTGTGTATGTTATGATGCTTGAATTACGAGTACATGTTTACAATTTGCCAAAAGAGGAAATTATCCATTTTGGCTAGAATGTAGCATCTTACTGTATAATCAAGAAGGCGTGTTACCTTGTGTGTCACTGCTCTTAAGCAGTGCTTGTAGGGCACAAATTAAGCATTTTTCATTCTAATGGTAGGCTCACAGGTTAAACTACTGTTGCCAATCAGACTTTTGTAACATGTATGAGATGTTACAGCACATTAAGCAATACACGTACATTGTATTATGTTTAACATCAGACTTTTTTGAAGCTGTTTTATTTTAGCATGGAATCTGCATGTGTGAAGTCAGTATTAAGAGAAATGAAAGCTTTTCCAGACTGAGTGCACTTAGTGGAGAAGAAAATATGATTCTAAATCATTGACTTTTGTTCAGTTAAGGTTTTGATAATCATTTAATTTTTTTTGTCTGAAAAACGGCAGTGTTTGGCATGATGTATTTCAAATTTCATGCATGCAGATTTCAAGTTTCCCTTTTTCTCCCCAAGTAAATTACTTGTTTACCATTCCTCCATGATCTTTGCAGGTGCGTTTGCAGTGGCTGATTGTTGTAACTGTTATCCTTCTATCGAAGGCTCACTACATTCCGTCATGTTCAAGTCTGCTTGTTTTGTATTTTTTTATATGTGAAAAATGACTTCCTAGCATGTCCCACTCACTGGCAGTACATCGCACTCACGTTATTTTTGTGAAATGTTAAAAAATTTAATGTACATTAAAAGTGTTCACTATCCTTAAGATCAGATGATTCTTCGCACAAAGTCCACACTAGGTATGTAAGGTTCGCAACCCCCCCCCCAAACACACATTCAGCTGTCGCCAAGATTTTTCTGGGGGAGGGGGCATCAAAGTTATTCCAGGGGAGAGGGAACACAATCAACAATGAACTGATATATCCATTTACACTGGAAGAGGATCAAGTTGAAGTTTTCTCACGCAAAGTGGCGATTTTCAGCCTTTTTTTTTCATTCTGTAATTTTTCTCCTGATTTTAAATTTCTTTTTTTTAGGGGGGGGAGTGTGCCCCCATTTATCCCCCTTGCAATGCTCATGCCCAGAGTCACACAATCATAATAATTGTGTCAAGCTATTTTTTAACCATGTACATACTACATACACAGATGCCAAGAAAACATATTCTCTTTTGTTGTATTTTGCATATCAACTATTACAAAAGTGTGCTTTACAGTATAAATGGAATGATGAATCACATGTACTTAAATGTACCCTTTGTGATGTACATCACTGCTGTTCTTTAAGAAAAAAATTTCTTTTAGACAGGCAGATATTTTTGTGAAGTAAAATACTAAGTGCAGTTTATTGTACATTACTTGTTCTATTTAAATATACAGTTAAACGATTTCTGAAGAACACAAATATTCAACGATCATGCATATTTTAATTGCTACAAAACAGTAGGCAAGAGGTTGGAGATGTGTTCAAAGATTTAATTTACCCTGATGGAATTTTAGAAACCTCTGAAATTATCTCCAGTACCAACTTTCATGTTTCCAATCCCTGAGTACATTAGTGTTTTACATTAAGATATACATGTAAATGAAAATCCCTTTCATTGAACACAGGTTGCATGCATGTGCGTCAAGTGTTTTGATCTGCATGTATATTTCAACACTTAATTAAAATGTTCATGTCCCTGGAATTTTAGAAGAGGTGTGATGTGATGTGCATGCACATTGTCTCCCACCCTTAGTTTTCTTAACCCTAACAGTCCTCAATCCTCCATTCTTAATATAGAATTGTGAAGAGATAAGTCTTCGGACTTTAGAAAGCACTAGGTACAGGGTGGATTAGGGTGTGGGGCTGAAATTAAAATAAAGAAAAATAAAAACTTTCAGAGCCAATAGGAATAATTGTTTTGTAAGAACAATGGCTGGCACTATGTCATTGAGTGACATAAATTCTCTGCACAAGGCAATGAGATGAAAATACATGTACCAAAAGATCTTTGGGTTGTATTTGGGTAACAGTCTGCATCACTTGGGATTTGCATCAAGTCCATGCTCAAAAAGAAATTGTTGAAGAAAATGAAGAATAAATGGTTTACCATTTATCGTGTGGTAAACTTTCCAGCCGGTGTTTCTCACTTTACAGCTATGGCAACTGTTTTCTGGTCAAAATCAAAGGACTTGAGAGTGGAAAGCATAAAGTTGGCCACATCAGCACGAGACATCAAGATCCGACTGATGCTGACTGAGTAGACATATTGCCCCACCTCACATTCCACAGGTCTGCCTGAAAAAGGAATTTCCTAAATTTAGTGCACCACCTGCACAGACCAGGAAATCCATGAACTTTTTTGCTCATGAGGAGTACATTACAGAGATTAATGTCTTAAGTCTATTTGAAATGTGTAGAAACAGAAAGGGAATTTTTGATTTGGGAAAGCACTTTTTTATGAGACTCCAATGTCTACAGGTGTTTCCAATACTTCCTTCATACTTTAAATAGGCCAATGCATAAGAAGCTCATGCCAACACTACTGATTACTAAAATTTCCTGTTTTCTAGTTAGCAGGTGGTAGAAAGTACACAGATTGATGCACTTGTTTTTGCCATTTTAATACCACATGCAAAAAATAATCTGCACAGTCCCATAGGATGAGAACACAAGGAAAGCTCTTATGAGACAGTGCCCTCATCTGACATGCAGACATCCTCTGACTTTACTGAAAGTCAGTCACGTCTTAATTCTCACATTTTCTTATTTACACTTTGAATTCTTACCACTCAATGGTCCGTTCGTTAAGCCTGGAGGTCTGACAATGGTGTAGTTGATATCCTGACACTTGTCAATGAGATATCTCTCCATTTGTTTCATATCATCTAAGATTCTCCCTATCGTGAGTCGCATGAATGATTTTAATATCCACTCGGTGAAGAATGGTCCAGGTTCACTCAGCCCATCTAAGTAAAGAAACAAGAACCTCTCAACTTTCTCAATTATGTGAAGATGCTAGTTTTAGAAAAATAAAATAAACAGTCTCATTGTATTTCCCATAGTACCACAGAAATAGTTTTCTATTCATTGACCTTTAAGGCCAAACAGTTACAGCCAAGATTTAACAATTCAAAAAGAAAAGATTTTTTGCAAAGATCTCAGCATTTCCTCAACTACATATGGATGTGGAAAAGGTATGGCAGTTGGTGTACACTTCCACTTACAATCAGTCATCCATGAGGTCATACATACAAGTCGTCTGACTCCAGCCTCCCTCATAGCCTGAGTGATAACTTTCATTGTATCACAGTAGAATGTTGACTCTCGTCTGGTATACGAGACTGACCTGCCGAGACAAGACAAAACGGCCTCGCTACCAGTAAAGTGAGACTTCAGGGAATCCACAGAGAACACATCAGCTTGCACTGCCTGGGAAAATTGGCATAAAGAGATTGAGAAGGAAAACTGACGTCAATTGTGTAATAATTGGAAGTAAAAATTGTTAAAAGTGAGAAAAGTCAGAATCAAATTGAAAATATGTCAGGCATTTTTCATTTCAGGGGTAAGCCTAGAGTTGAATTAATGACTGGTTCATGACATTTGACATGATACAGTCCTACACGTGAAAGCTAGAGGCAATTTGATTTCATTAACATAGTTTCCCTCTCCTCCATATTCTCTATCTCTAGGCAATATATATAAGTTAATATATAAGTTATATATGTTGCTAGAAAACTCTACGGCATTCACTAAATCAATGTCGACTGCGTTGTCTATGGTGAATTAATATATGTGGCTGAACTAGCTTTGGGTTTATTTTTCATCCTCTTCAAGTTTACTTCAAAGCAATACACAATTCTGTACAACTCATTTTGGTAATTATTGATGCAGCAGGACATTTTGTTGAAACATGCTTGCTTCAAGTACGAGCAAAATATCCCAATATAGACTTATGAACATAGAATATAAACACACAGACAACATACTAAGTTCTGTGAATTAACTTGAAGAAATCTTGCGACACCGATGTTATTTTCGATGTATGAGGTCACATATATGTATGATCCCGTAGGATGAATAGCCTGGTTGCCACACTCCATCGTGCATTCTTTTCCATGGGTGCGGTGAGGTGGCAACCAGCATTTGCGCATGTGTTTTTAGGACAGCGACAGCAAAACACAAGGAGAACTTGTGAAATTGACGGAAGTTGCTTTTCACATGTTGCAGATTTAACTGGGAAAATATGTAAACACATGCATTATAAACAATGAGAAAAAGGGTTTTCTGAGGTGTTTGTGAGGGCAGAAAAGAAACAGGATTTATTCATTTGCCATTCTTATATTTATTAAATGGCGTGCTTCAAATTGAGTTTGTGCGTATTTCCGTATTCGACGAAAGTCACTAACGTTAGGCCTAGTAAAACCGTAATAGTACATTACACAATCCTTACTACACAGACGTAACATCGTTGCTACTGCACTGGTGACTGACCTGCAAATGCCCATGAATCAATTCCAGTCGTAAAGGGTTTCTGCATAAAGCAATCACTTCAAATCCCTCCTCTAATGCCAGCTTCAATACCTGTTGTCCAGTTTTCCCCGTAGCGCCCAGAACAGCAAGTTTCTTCATCTGCCCACTTTTTAGCTCAATCTGAGTACTGTTGCCTTGTTAATTGTGCGTGTGCAAATGTATGTCTTTATCTGCATACATTCGCCTATTGAGGGCGCACTTCGAAATCTTCGCGCTTCCTATCCTGGGCATTGGAGGAAACAGTAGATGTTAAGAAAATGTTTTCTGTGACCAAAAGCTTTTATCTCAAAGAGGTTAACCTTATGAAAATAGAGAAACTATGAATTCTCAAAAATTTCTCGGGAAGGGTTAACCTTTTGAGTTTATATCAGTCTTTTGATTTTGAAGAAACACTTAGTACTAATAGTTCAACGTTTTAGGAAAAATTAATCTTTGGCAGGATTTAACATCATTTCGATAGGAAATCTTGGGTGAAAACCTTACATCTTCTATGGTTTGGTATTCTGTTTCGTTTAGCCATAAAATGAAAAAAAATCTGATTCAGAGAAAATGAATATATTTTGCTCATGTTAAAAAATATGTAGGTCCAGCCTCCAATCTTGTGATTTTGGGGTAAATTTGTTTTTCCTCCAATTCTTTGTGTCAAATGCCAGGATTAACCCTTTTCCACTTTTAGTAATTCTTTAACTCTAGGTCAAAATGATGATATTGAAATGGAGGAACATTTTTACTTTTCATGAAAATTACAATCTAGATGGTCAGTAGATGATGGAAATATGTTTCTTTTCCCTTGGAAATGATTTCTAAATGATTTGGAGAAAAGTCAAATTTTGGCCAAAATTTAC